TTCTAAGGAGGGCTGGCTAGTACCCTGAGCCCTTGCTCATTGAGGTTCAGTATACCTTTAAGTCCAAATTGTACAAATGAGCCCTTGCTCATTGATTGGGGTTCAGTATACCTTAAGTCCAAATTGTACAATTCTCTATTCTAATAGAAGAGAGACTCAATCCAATCAAACCATCAGATGAGAAAGTAATGGAAAAAATGTTCTACTATTCCAGTTTTTTTAGGAGGTCTTTATTTCTACCTCTCTGGAAGAATCAAAGAATCACTGACACTAGGGACTCTGCTAAAATCATTCATTTTGGAATTACCATGTTTAATTACATTTAAATCATTTGCAAGCACAGGACTAGGTAAATTTTGTAAGTTAAAATGATATGGAAAAATAAATGAAATAAGATACGAAATCTCAAATTGCAGAGCATCAGGGCAATGCTTTATAGAGCAGACAGAATTTAAGGAAATTTTATCAAAATGGGATATAGAAAACATGTATTGAAACATTGACTGGATGATTCATTTTCTGTGGGAGCCTAATTAGTGAATAACAAAACAGAGTGAGCTAAGTGTTTACTGCTCAAAGTTACTGAAGCTGTTGGGTCAGCCACACTAATTAACTAAGTGATGTCTTGGCTAATTAGAAGAGATGGAGAATATACGCCTAAAATTCTTTCTTACTGAAAAAAACAAAAACCTGCTTGAATCTCCCTGAGAATATCTTCAGCTAAGCTGCACCTACAGATTCTTCTTTATGTTACGTTAGTTTACACATGACTCAAGCTTAACTCCATTTTGCCCCTCGTATAGGAACCTTGCCATGTTACCATAACATTTATTCTGAACCTGGTATAAAGGCAATTAGTCATTCATTATAACACAAAAATTCAAATTGGTTGCAATTATGTTTTCTGAATCAAAACCATACACTTTGATGTGCATAATTTGAGGTTCCAAACTTCAAAGGCAGCAAATGAATCATAATGGTAAATAAGAAGACCCTTAAACAAGCATTCATATCTCCTACATATGAAAAATGGATAATTTCTATGACAGATTTATTTTTATGTTGGAGAATTTTAAAGAATTCATTTAATTAGCTGTAACTATGTTTGGAAACAAAATTTGAAGTACTATTGAATGAATGAGGAGAGCATTTTCAAGCATAAAGAAGCCCTCTTAAAATTTTCTTTTGTTTATTAGTCAACAAGCATTTATTAAGTACACAGTTTGCATGGCAGTGTACAATCAGATAATAACCTAACCTGGCACCATTAAAGTTCTGACAGTTAATTGAAAGAACTAATCTCTTTAGCTGTATATTCATAGTATATGAAGAAAAGCTTGAGGTGAAATGAGTAAGTTAATCTGATAAAAAAAAAACCCCACAAACCTGTGTATTTATGTTTCCTTTTGTTTTCTGTGTTAAGATAAGGCCACTACCCTTTCTATTTCTTCAGGGCTCCAGGAATTTAAAAGGCTCTTATCTCACTTAGGCAGTGAGTTCTATGCTTAACCATGAGTTTATAAATGTTTCTAGAGGTGAACACAGTGATTTGCAAGATTCTACAGATATGGAAAAGAAAGAACAGCACAGTAAACTTAGGAAGATAAGAGCAAATGTAGTTTAAGGAATTATTTCCACCTAGAAAGTATTTTTAGACTTAATTACATGCAGTAAGTTCCACATTTTAAACATGGACTTTACAACTCTCCTAGGTCATTGATTTTTAACCGTTGGCATTAGTGTTACTGTTTTGTTTTAAAATACAGATTCTCAGTTATGATATCCAGAAATTCTCATTCAGTTAAATGGTCAGAAAGGAACAACCTGTAAAACTTGCCAGCAGTTAAAGCTGAGACAACCAGGCATGAGGTCCTTGGGGCCATGAAAGAATAAATACCTTGCATAACATCAACACAGTTTATAATTTTTGGAGCCAGGCCCAGAAATCAAATATCCAAAGTCTAGATCTCACTATGTTAAAGCAACTTGCACTGTTTCTGCTACTCTCACACACTGAGAGCTAATTATTAGTTTAAAATAATCAATATATCCAGGGTTATCTCTTGTTTATATGACAAGGAGGTTCCCTCTACCAATGACCTGTGTGCTTCCTTTCTTGCTCAGGACTGAATAAGTCCCCCATGGACAGTGCTACAATAAATATGCACATTTATTCCATACACGTAGTTATTATACTATTTGAAACATGTTCAAAAATAAAATATATTCATATTTAAGGGCAAAGACAATAGATTAATATCGAATTTTAGTCCACATTAAGTCTTCATTATTGAATGTGTAGGTATGTCTATATACACACAGAAGTACTTTATGTCAGGCTGGATATTATTTTCCAGCTTCTTTATAAGATGATGCCTTTAAGTTTCTCTCTTCCATAGGGATTCTAAAAGCTCCATGCAGGAAGGGACCATGTCCTATTTCAACAACTGTTTCATACATAGCACCTAGCATAATACTTGCCAGAGACTCAATACTCAGCTCTTTTTTGGCTCTTTGGGCCATACCCAGTGGTGACTGGGGTTACTCCTGGCTCTGCACTCAGGACTCATTCCTGGAGGGCTGTGGGACCAAAAGGGATGCAAGGGATCTAACCTGGGTCAGCTGCATGCAGGGCAAGTACCCTACTGGCCATACTATTGCTCCAGCCCCTCACCTTATTATTGAATGAAAAGGACTTTATACATTTTTAAAGTGATTTGACAGAGTGTATTGACTAACTTTTATAGGACATTCCAAGATATATAAAAATAATGGGGAGACAATTTTATTAAGGAATAAATTTGGAATTACTCTAAGAGCTTTGGCCTGGTACTCCTGATGTGAGTGGATGGACTGAAAGTTAGACTTAGTATCTGTTGTTTGTAGCATTAGATGGAGTCATTAATAAGAACGACTAATGCATCGAGTAAACAAGTCTTCTGTCTCCTAGCTTGATTTCCCAAAGATTTAGTTAGATGGCAAAGGGTGACATGGAGTGTTTGATTCAAAGTAGCCATACTCATATAGCTCAGATTCCTCCTAATCCTTAGGTTGTAATGCAATGGGTAACCATGTTTAGGGTTGCCTTTAACAGAGATCCTTGTTTAGAGGGGATAATCCTATAAACCAAAGGCCTCCTGGACCACAAATGCTTCATGGACAATGGAAAGCAGTATCTAAGTATTATCTAACTAGCTGAGTCACATTCAAGTTGATCTGTCCTTTGTCCCAGGTTCTATAGCCTGCCTTTTGAGCACTTATACTGAAGTTCTTGCATTTATCTAAGCCATAATCTTCAAATCAAGGTATTGTGATTTATATCTTGCTGTAGCGATAGCACAGCGGGTAGGGCATTTGCCTTGCATGCAGCTGACCCGGGTTCGATTCCCCCGCCCCTCTCGGAGAGCCTGGCAAGCTACCGATAGTATCTCGCCCACACAGCAAAGCCTGGCAAGCCACCCATGATGTATTCGATATGCCAAAAATAGTAACAAGTCTCACAATTTCTTGTGAGATGTTACTGGTGCCCCCTTGAGCAAATTGATGAACTACAGGAGGACAGTGATAGTGATTTACTAAATGATTCATAGTAGGATTTAAGGCCAATTGATCAAAGACCAATCCCACCAGTGGTATGAATTTCCCTCCACCAGTATCTGAATGTTTAGTCTGGTTATTGTGGTCTCACACACACAGTGTTGCTAGCTCTGTATTTAAACCACATTCTGTACAAGATAAAGTATAATTAACTGAAATCGCTCTTACTTTCCTTACTCTCTGGGAGTTCCTGCTGACCTTAGGAAACTCATTTCAAATACAAAATGGTTTGACGTGGTGTGCCTTTTGGATTACACTTGAGCTCTCATTTATATGTATGTAAAAAATGTTTCCTTCAGTGCATCTTTTATATATGGCTGCAGGCACTACTGACAGTAATAACCACTGATGAAATCAAATTAATACCAAGTTTTCTTGTCTTGGGGAAAACATAATCATTTATTATTATCTGGCAAGATGAAGAATGTAGTCTCTTTGGTTCTGAGGGTATCATACTATAGTAGAAGGCAGTAAACTAGTTACAGAAGATCATTCAACCGATGATTACTTAAAACTAATTTATTATAAGCATGTCATTTCAATCTCAGCTTTTAATCCGACCACTTTGACCCAATACACCAGACAGATCCCCCACATTTTCTACAAAGTCTACGTGCTAATTTCCATGAGGAATAAAAAACTATTTTTCAGTCTTTCATTGAATTCATGTAAAAATAATGAATTCAAAGTATCACTGACATGAGCTAATATGCTAGATTTTTAAATGTAGCATGGATAAATAACTAGCCAGAGAATTGCTGTTAAAAATTAGTACCAGAAAAGTAGCAATGGTAGAGATATTCACACAAAATAATGCACATTTAATCTCTGCCATACAACTGAGATGGGCAAGAGGGCTGAAGAGGAATTGGGGGTACATGAAGGACTTAATTACAGATCTAGCTGCAATATTAAAGCCAATGTTAATGGAAGAAAGGACTGTGAATGGGCCAATACTAAAGTTCCTAGCATGAGGCCAAGTACATGACAGGGGTTCAATAACGGCTTTGTGGAATTAAAGGATGTACAAAGAAATGAATGAGTGGCCCTATTCACAGATTTAGAATTTAATATTGGGATTTTTGAGACATGGTTTTAAAATCGTCATTAAAAGGTATAAATTAATAGATTTTGGAAAAGTCGGTGCTGAATATAATATAGGTATTTCTGTGTTAATTGACCACAAAGTCACTATTCTTACCCTTAATTCTCAGCCCAAAGTTATGAAATGTATCTGTTCCATGAATAATTGAATTGAACTCAAAAGAGCGCTCTCCATTCCAGAAGCCGCCCACATTCCCAGTTAACTGTGATTTATCCGATTACTCCTGAAGAATTTTAAGCATTTTGCATCTGATTTGACTGACAACCAATCTGTGCTTTCTTTGTCTTTATTCTCACAGGAAGAAGATGCTGCTACTCGTGAAAGTCGCTTTAATTTCAGTGGTTATGGGATGGGTCACTGCCTCCAAGTGAAAGATGGAGCTTCTGTCAAGACCGCACCTGCCAACCCTGTCCCACACCCCCCACGAGATGCAGATGCCATCAAGAAGAAGTTTGTGGACCGGGCAAAACGAATTGATACCATATCTCGAGCTGCCTTCCCACTGGCCTTCCTCATCTTCAACATCTTTTACTGGATCACGTACAAGATCATTCGGCATGAAGACATTCACAAGAAATAGATGTGCCCTCCACACCCCAGGACCTTCTTGCCTAAGTGTTGTGCTTGTAATTAAACAGTGAAATTGTCTTTATATTGCTTTGACAGCAAAAACGCTATGGGGCGGGGGGAGGGAGAATCATGTCTGAGGGGTGCCTGGCACCTATGTGAATCCAGATAAGTTCTTCAGGCAATGAAGGAAAATGTTTGCTCGATATTAAGGGGCTACTAAATCACATGAACATAATTGCTTTCAGAGTCTTTAGCATTCTCCTTTCAGATAATGCATCAATTAGACATGATCTGCAAGTTCTCGAGGGCTATTTGTCTTTTGGTTTGGCTTGGTTTTGACAAATTCTGGTACTGAGAAGTTAGCTTAAATACACACACACACACACACACAGACACACAGACAATGCTTACCATCTGACCACAGTGACTAGCCTATAGTATGAGTCGAGGACCAAAATTTTTCAGGAAAACCTTGCCTCATTTTTAAAACAAGCCTCCTGAGCTATGTTCTTTACAATGTCTGTAATTAGTGTTTCACCCCAGAAATCCTTTTGTGGGTCATAAATTATTTATACTTACTGAGAAAACAAAAACAAAATAAACACCAACCACAAAGAACAGATTTGTACTTTACTGTCTGTGTAGATGTGCATTTAAATATTATTTTTCTTTCCTAGATGTAATTTGGGAGGGGTTAAATGGTGTGTTGTATAATTGATTTGATAGTATGATCTCTTAAAAATAAATGCAATGCCCATTTTGTTTCTGATCCAGTTAGTGCACTATTTTTTTTCACTTTGGCTGTATTGACGTGCACCTTTAGTGATCAACTGTAACTTAGCCATTGCAACCTCCCAGCTACAGTATTTATGGAGATGGTGTGTTCTGAATGGTGTAGCTCATACTAGCTTAAACTTCCCGTTTCTGCTCTCCTTGTAGGTGTAACTACTAGTCCCAATGTCAACTGACTAATGGTTTCTACTGGTAATTGAAGTGAATATCATTTTCAATATCTTTAACTTAATTCAATTTTAAAATTGTACTGTGATTTTCATAACGCGTTGCCTTTTTGGTACCAGAGCTATGTGGTTTGAATCCTGGCTACACGTTTTAAGTAAGAAAACAACAACAACAACAATGTATTTTTGCTTACTTGGATTAAAATACAACCTGCAAAAATATAATGAAAAAATAAAATTTTACATGTGCTGTAAAGGGGTTTATTTTAAAAAAATGTATTTGTTCAATTTCAATAAAGCTAAGTGTGCCATAGGACCTCTTGAAGACTATTTTCCTCTTTTCGCTGAAAACTCAATAATTTAAATGACAATGGTAGCTTGGGTTTTTTGTTTCTGGTGTTTCTCATAAACTTGAAGCACTTATATAACTATTGCATTATTGATATAATAACATAATTGTAGCTTATGGGACTCCCATGAAGAAAGAAACTTGATATTTTCATTGTAGAAATAGGGATTGAGACACAGAAGCACCAGTAGCCTCTCTGAGCAGATCTTAGTACTGGATATTTCATATCAGAGTTGGAAATATCCTAAGAGCACTGAAAAATCATTTTAAAAAAGTGCAAAGAAATTGAAAAACAAAACTGGCTATCTCTTCATCCTAATTTTGTAAGGAATAGAGTTTGAAGATGCTAAAGGTAATATATATGTATATATATATATGTATATATATATATATATATATATATGAGAATGTCATGAAGTAGAGGTAACTCATCTTGACCCTTGTGGATTTTCCTTCACCATACATATTCGTCATATTGTTTTCAATAAGGTGTGGATTCATAAATCAATGTCCATAACCTTTTAAACCAATTCAAATATTGAAAAATTTTCAGAGAGATCACATAATGACAAAAATCATAAACTTTGAGACAGAAATGCTAGCTGGACCACCTAGCAATAGTGTGATCCTAGACAAGTTACTGACTTTCTGAGTAATTTCTGTTTCCTAGTGCTTTAACAGGATGAACCGAGAAAAAAATGCAATTTATGTCATTAGCTTAGTGGCTAATACACAGTAAAATTCTCAATAAATATTTTGTAACAATAAAATTATAATTGTGGGCTGGAGCAATAGAACAGCGGTAGGGCATTTGCCTTGCACGCAGCCAACATGGCCGACCCGAGTTCGATTCCTCCGCCCCTCTCGGAGAGCCCAGCAAGCTACCGAGAGTATCTCGCCCGCACGGCAGAGCCTGGCAAGCTCCCCGTGACGTATTCAATATGCCAGACACAGTAACAACAAAGTCTCCAATGGAGACGTTACTGGGCCCACTCGAGCAAATCGACGAACAACGGGAGGGCCAAAAGTTATAATTATGAGTAATATTGGTTATCTAGTCAACAAAAATCATCACAATATTTAACCTGGCAAGACCAATGAATGCCATGATTTTAGGTATCATCCCCAAAAGATTGCTTTTGTCTTGCTAATTCCTTTCCAAACAAAAAGACAAAGTCTTTACTTAGTCTTGATACTCTTCCTCTCACAGTAACACACTGAAATTTAGACTAAAATGTCTACCAAAGATGGGCCTGTTTCTATACATGTCATTAAGAGATCTCTGGTGTTGCATGAAAGTTTTGGATGGAAGTTTTTCTCCTTGGGGGGAAATCCTTTATTAAATGACCATGTCTAACCAAATGTGTATGTCACATAATTTTCTGAGGAGTATGAGCCAATCTAACAAAGCACTATACCTTAGTTAGAAATTATCACGCTGGACAAGAACTGAGTGTTGAAAATAGGTAAAAGGATATATATGATAACCTTTCAGTATCTGTATTGAGAACCACAGTGCCCAAAATGAGAGAGAAAGAGAACTGTCTGCCACAGAGATAGGCTGTGTGTGCTGTGTGTGTGGGGGGGGGGGGTAGGGATAAGGTGGGGAAGGGGGGAATGGGGACAATGGTACTAGGAATGTACACTGGTGGAGGCATGGGTATCGGAACACCGTATGACTGAAATCCACTCATGAGCAGCTTTGTAAGGGTCTATCTCATGGTTGTTCAATTTAAAAGTTAAAAACTAATAAAGATAAATAAATTACGTAGTATAAAAATCTCAAAAAACACTTTACCCATAAAACATAAACATTTATAATCTTGTACTTTGTTATCTCCGCGCCAGGCTGTTTTCACTCAGGGCAGGCAAGAGCCCTCCCCACCCCTAAGGGACCCAGCTCCAGCAGCTGGCCTCCACTACCCAACCACCACCACACTCCAGGCTGCTTTCCAGACTGCATGGCCGCGTGGCATAAGACACTTCTTACCCATTTTCCATAATTACCACATGATGTTTGATGGAGTTCAGACAGTAGGCAACAAATCATAGAGAGAAATATATATATGTATATATATACATATATATATATGCCTCTTAGAGAGCTCAGCAAGCTATCGAGAGTATCCTGCTCGCACAGGCACAGCCTGACAAGCTCCCCGTGGCATATTCGATATGCCAAAACCAGTAACTATAACAGGTCTCATTCTCTTGATCCTGAAAGAGCCTCCAATCGCTGGGAAATACGAGTAAGGAGAGACTATAAAATCTCAGGGCTGAGACAAATAGAGACATTATTGGTGCTCAAATAAATCAATGAACAATGGGATGACAATGATGCAGTGATACTCTGCTACCTCAATTGAAAAAAGAAAATTGAAGGATAAAAAAGGAAAGTTGGAAGATTACACACCTCTAAACTTAACTGCCAGGTTCTCAAGTAGACAAAGGCATCATAGATTGTGAGTTCAAAGTGTGGTGGGTGCGCTATGTGTGCATTTGGTGGCTGAGAATGCCCCCCCAGACCTCCCCAGCAGAGTAACAAAGAAATAGGGGACTCGCAAAGAGATGTTAAAAGTGGCCGTGTTTAATGGAGAGCTATTGGCATGCTGATAGAACATCTGAGGAGGTTCAAGGTAGAGGATTGCAGGAAGGTGTGACTGATCATTTAAAGCATTTCAAAGGAGGAAATTCTCCTGGGGGGATTAACTCAATGAGACAATCTGTCTCCCAGGGACATCTGTATTGCTTTTCTCTTTCCCTTTAAAGAATTACATATTAAACAATTAAGTTTACTTCTTATTAATCTTGCAGTTATTTGGATAAACACAGTAAGAGATATAGGTTCCAAAACTTAGTTCTCTGGGCAAAAAGGGCAAGTGACACTTTTACAGTAAATCCCAGACTAAGTCCTCAGGCCAGTTCAGCTTGTCCTTCCCCATGGGGGAACTGTCTCTTAAATCATAACCGCTTGCATCAAGATCTTGCTTTTATGCTTTCTAGACTGTCCTATTTCAATGCCAGGTAGTTTTGCTGCTCACTCCGGGTCCATGCAGGTTTCACGGTGGAACATCCCCCACGCCCCCCGCCCCTTTTGGGGTGTAAGGAACTGCAGCAACTGAAGCCTGAGTCAAGTAATGATGATGGATTCCCAGGAGTAGATATATTTCAGTAGATGTATTTCAGTGAATATAACTATACAATCAACTCCCAAATATTAGGAGCATGAACGGTCTTCCTGTGTTTAAGCAAAGAACACTGCTCTATAGTAAAATATGACAAGACTATAGGAGAAATAGAAAAGCAAGTAACTCACTGCAAAGTCCAGAGTTTGACTTATAAGTAACCATCCCTGCCTTGGGGAATTGTGACAATGAGAGGTAAAACACAACAAAAGGTTAAAGGTAAATTCAGGGCATTGGGGTGCTTGGAAGAGCACTGTAAGTTTCTCTGGGGGTGGAAAAGGAGCAATTCACTAATGAAGGTTAAAGCACTTAGGGTTAACATCCAACAGTATACGGAAAGAGGGATTTTTTAATTTTTCCTTTGGTTCTAGTCCACATTCAGTGTAAAGGATTCTTTAATGCAAGCATTTAGGTTATGTAAAAACAATAAAGTCTCAGGGGAAATAATTTGAGTGTTTGGCACACATGGTGAAATAGATAATTACCCTGTAAGGCCACTGGATAGTATATTAAGGAGAAATTTTCTTTCACAATAGTATTTCAAGGGAAACTCTTAGGAGAGAAAGATAGTACAGCAGGTAAGGCATTTGCCTTGCAATAGCAGACCTGGATTCAAAACTTAGCACGGCACCACATACAGTTCCCCCCGCCCCCGATCCCTGCCAAGTGTGAACCCTGAGCAGAGAGCTATAAGTAAGCCCTGAACACGGCTGAATGTGGCATAAAAACCAAAATTAAAAAACAAACCAATCCAAAGTATCACGGGTCACGGTCCTCCCGTTGTTCATCGATTTGCTTGAGCGGGCCCAGTAACGTCTCCATTGGAGACTTTGTTGTTACTGTGTCTGGCATATGGAATACTCTTGGTAGCTTGCCGGGCTCTCTGAGAGGGGCGGAGGAATCGAACTCGGGTCGGCCATGTTGGCTGCGTGCAAGGCAAACGCCCTACCGCTGTGCTATCGCTCCAGCCCAAAGTATAAAAGAACAAAATCATGGCTTTGAAGAAGAGAACTTGCTACCTATTTTTAGATTGGAAACATCAGAAAGTGTCTATGTTGTCGTGAGCTCTACACAATGCTTCAAATACACAGTGAATATGATTGTTATCTTCAGGAAAAATTGGAGAGTGAGGTTATGTCATGCCATTTGACAAGATTTGGTAATATTTTTAACTGAACAATAACATGAAGTAACCAACTCATGCTACACCTTTCAGATAATGGATTACTGGGGCATTTTTCTCCAAAACATTTTTCTATTCCTACCACTTAGTTTTAAGAACAGATCAAGATGACTTAAATCTCAAAACTCTGTCCCAAAAATATGCAACAAACCAAATGGGCTAAAAGCGTTTTTTTAATGCTTGCAAATAGTGTCAGCATTAAATTCCTCACTGTGCTGTGAACAGAACTGATAAATTCTGAAAGCAAAATTTTCAATAGAGTAAACTAATATCACTTTATATTTTGCTTACTCCATTAATATCAAACAATAAGTTTATACTATAAACAGCACAGGATTCCATATAATATAATTCACAACTTTGGGGCCAGAGCAATAGTATAATGGGTAGGGTGCTTGCCTTGCACACAGCTGACCCAGATTCAACCCCCAGCACCACATAAAATCCCCTGAGCCCTCTAGGAGTGATCTCTAAGTTCAGAGCCAGTAGTAAGCCCTGAGCACCACTGGGCATGGCCCCAAAACAAACAGCATATATACATATATATGTATATACACACATATGTATATACACATGTGTGCGTGTCTGTGTGTATACAC